GCTCTTCAACACTTGGACACGGTCGTGTTGCGCCGTGTGTTTGCACGGCCGCAAGAACGCATCCACGCGCGTGATATTTCCGCGCGATGCCGCGTCAGGGTGGTTTACATTGTCGGCACGGGGAACGAGAAAGCATACAACGCAGACAGTATAATTGCGCGCGGTATGGAAATGATACATGCTGGACGTGTCCGTGAAGCAGTGCCGCGTATTCGAACCGGTGGAAACAAAAATCTCAGCTTGAACGTAATTAGAATACCTGCGCCTACCGTGCTACTTTCATTATTGCGTCAGCTGATGTGTCAAGGACTTGTATGGCGTATATCTTAGTGAGTCAGATGTTTGGACGAAATGGTTTTATCGGAGTTTTTATTTTAATTCCAACGGAATTCCAAAATACATGGTCCATATGGTCTCTGTTAAAAGGGTTTTTTTTGGTAGGGAGTAATTTGTGGATAAGTCCCTGGCAGTATATGTCTTTTTTTTTAGGAGCTTTCCTGATCAGAATTTGCCCATAACTGTCTTTAATATTCGAGTAGTTTTCTAGAAGGATATGTCCCAGTTAAGGGGCTCTAAAAAATATTTTTTAAGGCTCGTAGAACGCAGGACCCTGAAGTTAAGAGACGAGACGTTTCATAACTCTTTGACACAAGTCTCCTTCGATTTCAGCGATGAAATTACTTTTTCCGTAAAGATGTAGGAAAGTATTGATTAGACAATAGCAGTAATGTATGTTACGTAGAATCTGTTAGCGTTGGAATCTAGTATTCCATTCCTCTCAATTTCTCACCCTAATAGACGGAACCAGCCAGTACTGGACAAACTTCACTTCCGTAAATTGGCCGGCGCGCGCATTCAGCATAAATCCATCTCGATAATAGCGTCGATTGTTCCCTATTAAAGCCGCAGTCTGCATTAAGTTCGCCGGGAACGGAACGTTTCGCATGCATTTCGAATTACGGCTCTTTAACGAATAATCCACCATGAAATTATTAGACACAGCGTTTCTAAAGTGTACCAGTAATACTTAATCCTTTGAATATCTCATGAAAGAATTTCCTCTCCACAATTGCTGTCTAACATCTCGTTTGATATTTGATTCACAATCCACTTCTCCCCTTTTAATTATTTAGGAATCACGATTATCCAAAATATCCGCTTCCGTTTCGTCTTAAAATCCACCGAATAGGCATTAGGAGCCAGAGTTTTTCACTTCCCTGAAAAAAGATAGGGAGCAACAGCTCCTCAGAATTTCCTGTACTCGTGACTCATTCATCCAGGCTTAAAATGTACCAAATAGGCACTAGCAAGCAGAATTGTGGAATCCCCTGAAAAAAGATAGGGACTAACAGCTCTTCGGAATTTCCTGTACCTGGTAGCTTGTTTGTTCAGTCTTAAAATGCATCAAACATCCCTTGGGAGCCTATAGCAACCAAATCTGTGGAGTCCCCTGGAAAAAGATAGGGGAGCAACAGCTCTTCGGAATTTCCTGTACACTCGTGACTCCGTTCATTCGATTCCGTCCGACACAGTCTTTACCGGGTCGTTTGAGCGTCCCAGGTAACGCGTTGCTCGAGGGTGATGTCTGTTTGAACAAGGCTGGGGCACGAGGGGGATGAACTTGACGTTGCTGTGTCGGTCTGGGAGCTGTTGCAGGAGTGTTGCCAGAGTCTCCTGACTTCTGGCTTCGTACTTGAAAAGCTGCGCGGGGTACAAGAGCTGTTACTGGTTTCTGACTTTTGGGCCTAGGGGAGGAACCGTTGCATGAATATTTTACAAAAATGCACGCTTCGGAGAACCTAGTCATCCCCTATTCACGGTTGCTCGAATTTGCAGTTGCACACCGCTCGCGGTACACCTGCAATCGCTTTCCCGCCGCCCCTTGTACCCTCTGGCTGGTTCTTGTTTCAAACCGCCCACGTATTGTGCTTGGGGAAGGGGTGACGAGGGTGCGCGAGTGGCAGCGTTTTACGCTCGCGTGTCGTGTCTTGTTTGAATAAAGAGACACCGGAACTGGTCCCAGCTTTCAGCGAAATAGATTTTTATTCGGACTGCGAGGCAAGGATTTCCATGAGTATATTTCCACGGAAGGGAGGGATGGATCGTTCGACAGGCTCGCTGCGTCGTTCAACCGGATACACGAATCATTTTTTTATTTCGTGATCGCGTGGATCCATTCCAGCGTGTTGTTCATCGAAGTTACCCTGTGCTGCAAGGATTATACTCGTTGCTCACCACCGAGAGTTTAATTGATTCTGGACGAGGAATTTCGTGTTCTGTTGTGAATTCGGATCGAGGGAAAAGACTTGTAAATGAAGATCGATGAACATTACCATCGGAGAACCAAGCGGAGGGAAGCTGTTCTTTCGGTGGATATAAACTTTCCCGAGTCTCGACGCCGTTTGGGAAAGTTCGAGCTCGTGTAAACCGATAACAAAACGGTCGCTAAAAGGTGCCTCCCCACGATGCTATTTTCCCCGTTGAAATTAACTCGATCTGGACTTCTTCGCGAGGTGTTCACGGTGTTCCCCGGGATCGATTACACGATCGAACGATTTTCCTCGGTTCGTTTCGTTAATCACGAATCGAATGTCGTCACAGTGGGAATGACCGTGAACCGTTGCTGTTTTCTTCGCTGCAGGGCTTGTGTGAATGACAAGAGATTTATTCTCACACGTTCTCAGCCCTCCGATACGTCACGCGAGTTAATCGTAAATTGTTCCCGGACCGCCGCGGAGTCTTTCAACCGCCAGTCAGACAGGACATTTATTTTCTCTGTCCGCGCACGGCTCGCCGTGATTTATGATACCCCTCTGGATCGGTTTTCATCGATTCCCTCGATCGCGACCGAACATTAACGAAGCCCTTCCACGACCATTACCCACCGGGGATATCCTCCCACCTACCAATTCCCAGAAGATCGAATCGTCTCACCGAAAATGAGATTTCGAAGATCCTGGGGTACGAGGTCTGAGTACTGAAATGGGTCCAGGATCCTCTGTGGCTTTCTTTATTTAAACCGCGCATCCCCTTGTGCCTGCATCGGGATAGGAATAAAACATGAATATACACGTGACCCGAGGAAATCTCCGTCCTTGAAGACGAATCGCATTTTACTAAGATATTTGGGTGCTGCTACAAAAATATTCATGCAATCGGAATTGGTAATTACAGAATTATTGTAAATCATCGATGAGTATTCTAATGGCCATATGCGGTTGAAACAAATATCGTTGGCTTCAGAATTCCTAATTCTATTACTATGTTATGATTCTTTTTATGTCTGCAGTTTCCAGAATAACATTATCATCAATAATTCCCCAGAAACAAAAGGAATTCGTGTACTTATCGCAATTGTACATTTACTCTAAAAGTTAAATATTAATATCAGCAAACTAGTATTTCCCCTTGAGTTTAGTATTTGACCCGCATCAGAAATAAGTTTTACAGAACCATAGAAAGATATTTGATAATGAGTAACTGGTGTTAAATAATTTGAATCTAAAATAATATTATTATTTTCATCTAATGATGGTAATGGTATTTGTGCACCTAATTGTACATATTGATTAATTGCTAATTCACTGGTTCCTGATTTATAATTTAATGAACTAAAAGTACATTGTATATAAGCAAGTTCTTTATTTTCATTATTATAAGTTTCACTAACAACTTCAAGAATATATCATTGTCTATCAACTTTAATAGTATTATCTTTATTTTGAACTTTATGACTTTCTGGTATCACATATAACTTACGCATATTTGATAATATATTATTAATAGAATGAAATGTCGATTTCCCGAAAAATCACGAATCGACGTTACACGAATCAAACTTATCGATATCAACGAGCACCTCAGCCTCTCCCAACCGCGCAAGAATTTCCATTCCAAGGTCTGAAATAACCCAATTCGATTGCTCCCACCCTACAAATGACTCCACCTCGCGCGTTGGGTCTTCATTAAATTACAGCGGGGGGGGAATACGGGTCAGAGAAAGACCCTGGAAAGAATCCATCGGTGTGTGCCTCTGGTCGCGAGGGTTTGGGTTCGTGGAGAATCCTCGGAGGATGCCAAACGCTTGCGTTGCTGAATTCAAACGCGATCGTCAGACCGGTGGCCTGAAAGCCGATCTTCCTCTTAGACGTTTCCGGGTTGGTAGAAGTAGGGAAGGGGAGGTGGAACGTAAGGAAAATAAAGCGGTAGTAGAAACCGTTTCCCCTGCTAAATGAGATTCTGATACAGCGATCGGATCGCTGCGGCTCGGGCGTTGCGGAGCTCTGATAACGTTGGCGGGGGGATGCGCATCTGGTGGGGGGTTGATTTATCGGAAATTAATATGCTACGCTACCGACGCCACGGTGAAAACAGCTCGGCCCAACGATGGCTAGAAAGAGACACTCTGTAAGTTGATGGAGGTGGTTAAAGGAGGGGCGACGGTACCGAAAATTTAAAATAGATTTGCTCGAGCTGAGAGAGGATCCTCGTCGCTCCTCCCGAGGCTTATCGGGCCTATGAAGCTACGTAACGAACCGTGGAAGGGGGCTGGCTGAAGCATATTAATGCTCTTCTCCAGGATCCAGGTACAGGAACACCGGTTGCTAGTGGAACACTAGCCCCTGGACTCGAGGGACGGAAAAGCTTCTGAGTTGCGGAGATAGAGCCCCCGGACGATTCTAAGAACCGTTCCCAAACGAATTCAGGAAATGAACCGGGGTTACCTCGAGTGATCTTGACTTATGGTCTTTGGGAGAACATTGTGGGCGACGTCGACGCGTTCGTTGGCCCCAATTTGATCTCCACGTCATTTGTTAGGCAGTACCCTAGATTGCTAATGTTGTATCAGGAGATGGTAGTTTTTTATTTATCTAGTACCCCCAGTATTGCATTAGATATTTGGTTTTAATTGTTCAGGGTGAATAATGATTGGAGATAATGTGGTATTTAGGATGTTTTTAACGTATGTTGCAGGAGGTCCATGGAATAACGACGCAACGATGATCAGGATGAAGTTTTTTCGCCTGGTTCTGGCCCTTCTCGGAGGCACTCATGTCCTCTGCGCGCAGCCCTCTGCTTCCCCCACGGTGAAGAGTTCTGGTGAGTCGAGTATCGATTAATTCGATAATTGTAGACCGCGTAGCACGATATGAATCGTTCAGAAGTGATTGAAATCTCTCCAGTAATTAACTGGGAAAGCTAAGAAGTAATTGCTGGTGAGAGTTGAAAAGATTGGACTTGAAGATCAGTCTCTTGTCCTCGTTAGAGCAGGTCGGGGGATCGATTTCTCAAGTCGAATTAATCGCGTTAAAAGCACCACGCAAGTGGCTATCGTTCGTGGATCCTTAGAAATCTATAGTTATCGTGGCTGGGCGCCGCCAGGAGCCCAAAGGCTGGTATCGTTCCTTCCAGTGGTTGGTAAATACCGACGAACACGAACGCCAATGGCTTTCCGTGTAATTAACGACTGTCCATCCTCCTCGAGATTATGAAGTCTGGGCGGTAATGAAATTTGTATAAGCAGCGCAAGGTTCGCGTAGAACGATGCTGGCTTCCAAATAGGCATGTCAAAAAGACTGACGAGTAATGTGCACGCATTGTAACGACGTAATTATACGACTCCGGGTTTGACGTTCATCATCTGGCTCGGTGGTTTTCACTACCTTCTCGGCTAACGGAACATCTGTATTTCGTCGCCGCCACATTTGTCTTTCTTTCGGGGATAGTTTTCCGCGTCGATTCATCGATTCCGGGTCCAATTGGAATTGGGAATAAGAAACTTTATTTTAGAGGATTGCCATGGGGAGTAGAGAAATTCTACGTTTACTAGAAATACATTCAACTTTTAGTATACTTCCATTTAATTTACGAGTGATAGGATCTTTTTAGATTGTTATGGTGAAATCCAGTATTATATTTTTAGTCTTTGTGTAAGGATGATATTGATGCAGTCAATTGATCTATGTTGTTCAATACTTCACAGTTGACGTCTACTACACATAAATTCTATTTGCACTGTATTCAAAGATAAAATTTGCCATTTAAATAATTCTGACGAAATCCAATTCTACGTTTTCGTAAGTCCCACTATAGATATCACACTCCAACAGTCAATTGATCTGCACTGTATTATAATTCACATTAGATTCACCACTTCAAAGAAAAGCAGTCTTCATTACTCCACAATGTATTTCATCCGTGCCAGATCTTTCCCGTCCCCATCGAATACAACAAACGTCGATCGATAGACCGCAGGTTTCCGCCTTGCTACTCCCCATTAAATATGCTTTAATTCCCTCAATTTGGCGCTCGACTCGCGCGTGTAATCGAGCGTATTCCGCAGCTCATGGAGTTTTATTTTCGACCGGCTGACGGGCTCTCCATCGGGGCCTCCAGTTTTCATAGGTAACCGATTTCGTCGCGGAGTTCCGATTTTTATTTCCCTCTACCATTACTTCGACGGTCTCCGTTGATCCCCTCCTCGTCCCATAAAACCGTTTGGTATACCTGGTGGTTCGATATCCCATGTTCGTGTTGGATTCCGTTGTGGAAGAACTGCGATACAACTGCTCCCGCGGTGATACACGCGCGGCTACGCGATCGAGAATTACAGCCGTCGGACGCGGGTCCTTCGCTGGGGAAAAATGGTATTACCTCGTACAGTAGCGTTAATTTATCGAGTAATATTCCGGCTGGAACCGTTTCGAAGGCGTTTATAACACGACCCGCGAAACAAGACGCGAAATAGGTGGTCTCCTCCACCGTAGGATCCGCCATATGTCGCGTATAGAACGCGATAAATTCAATTCCGTATTCGTCATTCAAGGGGGAGGGGTCTGGCTTAATGGACGAAATTCCAGCGGTGTGTTTCGCGTTACCGTTTTATTGGAAACCGATATCGATGGATGGACTCGAGCGGACAGTAGTCTAGACCCATTCTACTTCGACGCTCGTGTTTTGTGCCCATGTCGAACTTTCTGTTCGAGTCCTCCTCGTGTCGTCTGGGCTTCTCGAGCACCACTTATCGGCTTGATTACGTTCCAGTGGAAAGAAAAAGAGCGTACGTCCGCGAGCCATTCGCTGTTCTTGCGATTACTTCGTTTAGCTTTTTGGGAATAAGTGCATTCCGCGAATATGCGCTCGTTAACCGTTTGCCTTACGATTGTTTTTACGGCTGTACTTTTAAGCATTATTTTATCGTTAATAATTTCCTAGATACAGAAGGAATTTTATTCTTGGGGCAAGTGGATTATTTACTCTAAATCTTAAATATTAATACCAATGAAACAGAATTTCACTTCGACTCAAAGAAAATTGTATACATGTTTATTAAATCCAGTTTGAAATCGACATCACGTGTCTGACTCGATGTTATAAGGCAAGGGGTTAAACGTGCACTATGACAAATCTCCCTTTGATGATAGATTCGTTCCTCGATATCGGGAATACGGGCTCCATCGTAATATTTATTTCGAGATGCTAATTAAACGGCGCGAATGAATTACTTTGTGTCGGTTCAAGAACGTACTCGTGGAGAGTAACGATGAGATTTTAATATAGGGTACGACGTCGTGTCTTTGTTTTCATTCAATTTGTTACTTTCATGGAAATCAGTGGCGAAATATACTGCGACGTGGAAAGAGCAGTGTTCGTGTCTCTTGTGACGGAGCTGGATATTAGTGATTATCATTAATATTTTCCTGTCGACTAGAAAATCGGGTTTGGCTCACAAAAGATTTTCCAACCAAGTTAATAACTATTTACACGAGATCGTAAGGCCAATGTAAGATTATCTAATCAGCAACATTAGATTACATGTTCGAGAACTAGGTCGAATATTTTGCATAATACTAACAGACCGAACTGGTGTATGACAGGTTTTTCGAAATTAGCAAAGCAGTACTTGGAGCGATTCTTACTCCAACGCAACTCCGCCGTTTACTTAAACCGTTACACGGCCAAAGTTCGGGGGAATTACATAACAATGTGCGAGACGATGGCACGTATGTATAATAACAGATAATTACACTTTAGGACTTTCGAGTTAACTCGTTCTACAATGATCCCCGCTACTAGGATACGAGATTCAGCCAACTACTCTACGTGAGGCTGTTTACTTTACCCCCACCTCCTGAAGTACTTATAGATTTACCAGTCAGCCCTCGGTTAATCTATTTCTCGAGCAAGTCTCCTTATCATTCGGTATTCATCGCACGAATAAAATCCGTGTCCAGAAAAGATTTTCAAGTGGTTGCCTTGGCAGGGATATACTCGAATATCGTTTTCGATATGGGTGGCGGTCGCTTAAGCCGCGATCAGACGATCGATTTATCAAACTCCTCGGACGACACCGTCGTCGGATATTACTTCGGTTTTTCTCCCCGTCGAAACTCTGTCCCTTCCTTCTTTTCGTCGGGTCCGTTCCCGGTCCTTATTCTCGCCGGGATTATACGCGATGGCGTGTATAATACGAGTCGCGCGGGGGAACGGTCTGACCTCAATATCATCCAGTGCAGGTTGTACCGAGGGGCGTGGGAGCGCAACCCCTCCGACAATTCCGAGACACGGTAAAAACTAAGATTACTATGCAATGCAATCAGCGGCGGTACCCGGGGTTCTTTCAGATTAAAACACAGTTCGGGATTACCGGTCGAAACTGCTGTTTTGCCGGGAGTCGCTCACCACGACCGAGATTGTTCGACCGTCCTCTCCCCCAAACCCCTTTCTCCATCCCCCAGGTGTACGACAAAAAGTTGCGCGCAACAGCGTTTCGAAGAGGGTCGAGTTGGAAGAAGACTCGGTATCGTTCGTTGATACTGTGTACTGCGTTTGAATTGTGCATTCTGGATACTATTTTGCATATTCGCGGGACATTTTTACTTGCTCCGTGGAATTGTTACCCGTGGATGGTAGCGAACGATACATGCGCTACCACTTGTTGGAGCTGTCGTAATGTTACGTTTTGTAGTTGCCCTTTTTATCGGTTATGGTGATAGGAAAGTGTCTGTATATCTTGTGTAAGGGTGGTGATTAGGTGTCTCTTGGCTGGCTGGTAGTGGAGAGGCTTCTTTATTTGGGATTGCAATGGGTCTTGCTGATGGAAAAATTGTAGATGCGATGAAGTGTTTTATTTTCCTCTGAAATCCTTTAGTAGGGAGACACCTGTTCTTGAGGTAGTAGGATACTAACGGTTTATAAATAAATGTACACACGTCTAAACTCAACTGATATTAATTATATGAACTCAACGAAGAAGCAAATTTGGATGGACTGAAGTGTCTGACCAGTGACCCCCTTTTCTACTTACAATTCGACAGTGGCGCAGTGAAAAAGGCAGTGTGTAGCCAGACATGCTTTATTTCGTCTTTTAAGTCACAAGTTGTTGAAATTACGTCTGTTTAGTTAATAGAGGCTATTGATGCTGCGATGTTAATTTTACGCAAAAATTTCGTGACGGTATTTAACCCTCCATGACCCTCTTTATTCTTAAAGCTTCCAGACCTATTTTTTTGTATCTTACAAGTTTCCGAAAAATGTGAAAAAATTGAAGGATACTCCCCAGGGTCTGTACTATATGATCCAATAGTTTCTAATTTTGAATGTTACCAGGTTTTTTAAAATAACGATCCCTTCGTTTCGGAGATATTTTAGCGCGAAATTTCGTTTGTGTCACAAAAGACTCAGGTTAAAAAAATCCAGACTAATTTTGGTTGACGTGGTAGTAAAATTGTGAAAGCTTCAATGTCTATATCACCTTCCTAACTTATTTTCCGTTTTTAACTGGTCACTTTATTGGCCGACTAGCATTTCATTTTATTCGTATAATTTCGTATCTTCGTGAGTGCATACAACTAATTTTCACGCTCTCGTTCGTCGAAAGAGCGTCTTGTAGCGTCGATGTCCTTCCACGGAATACCACGAGCTACTTGCCACCAGCTAATAAGCTTGAGGTGTATTTTTGAACCTGTTTTTTTCTTCTTTTCGTGACCGAGATCGCGAGAGCGCCATGGAAATGTGTCGCCTCTGACGGCGCCGCGACACTTGTCAGCGAAAATTGAAGTGCTGCCCGGAGAGAGAGAGAGAGAGAGAGAGAGAGAGAG